AATTTTGAAGTCTGAGCCTGAAGGCAGTTCTTAACTTTGACGTCTTCTCGACCTATCTGCCTTGAACTCAAACATAGTGGGCCATCAAACCCCATGATAGAAGAGAAACCCCACTTCAGTGATATTGTGGTTCAGTGCAAACTATAGTAGAATACAATTTGAAATGGCTATACCTGAAAGTATGTATATAGTAAGGAAGCTATCTTGAACAGTAGTCACAATTGGTATTTGACTTCATAATGAGGCTTAATGTAATACCATCCAAATCTTTTGAAGGTTGTAGATTCAATATTTCGTGTAGCGTTACCATTCTAAGCTGAACAAGAATATTTTCTTTTGCGTTTTGGAATGTATTAACACTTCTGAATTTCTATAGGAAAATTATAAGAATATACTCAAGCTTGCTAGACATTTGATAGTTTCTTTGAATTTGAGTTTTTATGTCTCTTATTGCTGTCAATGCAAATCAAAAATCTTTTTCCTTTTTTTTTCAAGAGGTACTGGAAAGGCACTTGGAAACTCTTGGTTTTTTTTTTGTGCGGTTGGAAGCCTCAGAGGGTTTAGAGTTTGGCAGTCAAATATACAACATATGTGACCATTCTGCAATTTTCAATCTGGCTCTGTTTGAATTCTTCCACACTGTTTGTCACATCACAGTTGTTAAAGTGAAGATCGCATGTCACTGTGGTATGCACATCTGTTCTTTGTTAACTTTTCTGATGTTAATTAGTTGCAATCCAAACAATGTTGTGTTGGTAATCTGTTGATTTGAAACAGTAATCTGGTATTAATTGTTAAGTGCCTGGTTAACTTGGATGTATTCTTTTCATTTTATTTTAAGGGCCATGATATCATCTAACCTTTTCCCTCCCTATTCTTCTAGTTTTCCTGGGTTATGCATTTCCTGCAAAGAGCAAGGAGGCAGCCCAAATTCTTCCCAGGCCTCTGCCTGTTGCCAAAAGAGGCCAAGCTGTTTTGTCTTTCTACGCTTTATAGACATACACCATGTAGCCCTGGGACCACATATAAAATCCTCCCACTAATTCACTTGTATATCACATTGTTGCTACAGAGTTTGTAAGATTTCTGAGCTTTTCAAATTTCACTTATCTGAGATTCAAATAGCATAATCCATCAAGTAAGAAAGGCACAAATACAAATCATATTTCTTAAATTTCAGTGTCCAGGTGACCAAAACTTGAAGAGTTATGCTGAATTATGTTTCCAAACTTGGAGACACCATCTCTGGCTGTGAGGCACGTGTGAAACCGAGATGATGAATATACTTTAACAGATTGAAGCCATTGCAACCAACTCCAGTTTTCACCTCAATCTAATGTCCAAACATTTGCATTTTCAGTTGGGTAGTGTTATTGGGGTTGAGCACTGTAAATTGAGGCCTACCATCTCTGTGCCAAAGATGTACATTGTATCTCAATTTACCTACTTTTAGACCAAAATTGATAGAAAGCACAGACCAGGGCTTTTGCTCTAACCAAGAATTATTACTTATTACAAGTAATTAGACTCTAGCTATGTGTAAACAGATATAAACAATTGGCATATAACACTACTAATTAAAACACTTATCCCCTTATAAACTCCCCTTACCCAGGCAAACAAACACGCATACACCCACATGTATACACAGAGAGACAAACAAATTGCGAAAGTAGATTATTGACAGAAATTTTTAAAAAACTGGAAATTAAGTTTGGCGGTCTTTATTTCAAATACAGAACATGCTGGAGAAACTCAGCAGGTCTTTACAGCCTACAGTCTGTGAAGTGCTTAAATGAAAAATGAAGCGTTGTTCATCAAGCTTGCATTTTCTGCTTAGGCTCCTTACAGCCACAAGGTCTCAATATTTAATTCAATAACTTCAGAAACTGAGTGGTTTATGTCTGTTCTCCATCTTTCTTTACATATAACCCTTCCCCTCCTCTCCTATAGCCTTGATTTGTCTGTGTCTTGTCTACTTTGCTCTTGGTAGAGAGGACTCATTCTGTCCCTTTTTACACCTTAAGTTACACCCATTTAACATCTCTTTTTCTCTTTCTCCACCACTAACAAGTCGTTTGTCTTTTGCACTGGTCTGCTGCCTCTGTCAAAAGTTTATAAACAAATGTCATACCAGACTTGAAATGTCACGTCTGTTTCTCTCTCTCTACAGGTAAAAATCGGAATGTAAATTGGGAACAAAAACAGAAGTTGCTGGAAAAGCTTAGTAGGTCTGAGGAAGTGTCACCAGATCTGAAACATTAACTCTGATTTTTCTTCACAGATGCTGCCAGACCTGCTAAGCTTTTCCAGCAACTGAGATAACACGGTGTAGAGCTGGATGAACACAGCAGGCCAAGCAGCATCAGAGGAGCAGGAAAGCTGACGTTTTGGGTCGAGACCCTTTCCAGCAACTTCTGTTTTTGCTCTCTGTACAGATGTTGCCAGACTAGAGTCTCTCTAGTATTCGGTGTTTATTTCAGATTTCCAGCATTCACAGTATTTTGCCTTTGTTTGATCAAGGTTTCTTCTCTGGCTTCACACTAGGACTAGTGGATAGTATTGGACATTTGGAAAAAAATGTTCTTGGGGTGTGGGGCCTTGGTTTAAAAAAAAATTATTGTTCATTTTTAGTTAATTATGTTCTGTCATGTAACATTGGTCATTCTGGTTAGGAGGATACTTTTCATGGTCTAGTGATTCCAGTCAATGCAGTAGCTTTCATGTCTACTTTTTCAGCACTTAGCCCATAATTTGTCAGATTCTGTTTCAGTAGGTTTAATCTTGAGACAAAGAAACCAAAGAACTGTGGGTGCTAGAAATCAGAAACAAAAACAGAAATTGCTGGAAAATCTCAGCAGGTCTGGCAGCATCTGAGAGAAACCAGAGTTAACATTTCGAGTCTAGTGATCCTTCTTCAGAACTGATTGTTGCTAGGAAAAAGTTGCTGAATTTATGCTAGAGAAAGGGGGGGAATTAACAATGAGTGGAGATGGAGCCCAAAAGGGAGAAGAACTGTATAATAGACAAAGGATTGGGTAAAAGTCATTCTGGGGGAGTCAGTAGCTGCTAATGGGGATCATTAGTGGCGGATAATGGGTTGTGTATGGTAGCAGCCAATGTGATGGCAAGAGTTCTGAGGAAAGGTCACTCGACCTGAAACGTTAACTCTACTGGTCTGGCAGGATCTGTAGAGAGAAATCAATTTCTATTTTGTTTCTGATGTGATGACAAGGTCTGATGTGTGGGGTTGAGGCAAGGACATGGGAGAAGATACTTGGGGCCCTAAAATTACTAATCTCAATATTGAGTCCAGAAGGCTACAAGCTCCCCAAACAGAAAATGAGATGCTGTTATTCCAGCTTGCAGCAATTCTGAGACAGATATTGGCCAGAGAGCATGGTGGTGTGTTGAAGTAGCAGGCAACAGGAAACTTGGTCATTTTGCAGACGTACCAGCTAATAACTGTCAAATTTGAAAGTTTGAACAGTTTTTCTTGGTTTGTTAGAAACAGGAAAAATATGTTTATTTGAGTATTTTGTGCTGAATGCCTTTTTAGTGCGATGACATTCACTGATTTGAAAGTATTGTAAAGAGACAACAGCCCAATAAATATAGAAGTTGCTGGAAAAGCTCAGCAAGTCTGGCAGCATCTGTGAAGAGAAATCAGAGTTAATGTTTCGGGTCCAGTGACCCTTCCTCAGAACTGATGGTAGCTAGGAAAATGTTTTTTAATGCAGAAAATAGGGTGGGGGGAGGGGAGTAAACAATAGGTGGGGATAGAGCCCCTCCCCCATCCTATCTTCTGCATAAAAACCAACATTTCCTGGCTATTATCAGTTCTGAGGAAGGGTCACCAGACCCAAAACGTTAACTCTGATTTCTCTTCACAAATATTCTTCCCCTCTTTCCAATTCCTCCTCCACCTTTTCGATTTGCTTTCCTCAGTAGCTCCCCACTCACCCACACTACCTATCGGGGAGTGGCGGGTTAAATCTGCTCAGTGAGTGGTAAGTGCAGCCAAGTGAATGTGTATCTGCTTCATCTGTTAAACTGTTTTATTCCCTGTATAAATGTCTGTAAGCTATTCAGGTAAACACAAAGAACATTTTGTTCTGACGTAGAAGGGCCCCACCTGAATTGTTAGCCTGTCTGTTTCAGATACTGTCTGATCTGTGTATTTGCAACATTTGTTTATTTTTTCTCTGTGTGTTTGTAGTCAGATGCATGTTGTCTTAAGAACACTGGACAAACTTTACAAAGGACTCTAGCCAAAAATATTTCAGGTTAAATAACAACATCAAAAATAGTTTAGTTAAGTCTCCTAAATGGATGAGATTATTTGTATCACAATTCCCCAATGTTCCAGGGATCAGGAGTCAGATTTGAATACTTTGTGTCTTCAAAAAGTAACTGCCATGTATAAAGTCTTCTGAACGATCGACCGGTATTAGATACGGTTAACAATTTATAGAATTTTTTTAATAGAGTCTCTACAGTGTGGAAACAGGCCCTTCGGCTCAGCAAGTCCACACAGACCCTTGGAGCATCCCACTCAGATCCACCCCCTTATCATCCACCTAATCTACACATCCCTGAACACTGCGGGCAATTTAACATGGCCAATCCACCTAGCCTGCACATCTTTGGATTGTGGGAGGAAACTGGAGCACCCGGAGGAAACCCACACAGACATGGGGAGAATGTGCAAACTCTGCACAGTCGCCTGAGGGTGGAATCGAACCCGGGTCCCTGGCGTTGTGAGACTGCAGTGCTAACCACTGAGCCACCGTACCGCCAGTTGTGTCTTGCAAATTGTGAATATGAGTTTTAAGCAAATATAAGTACAGTTGTCATTGTAATTGCAACCAGCTCACCATGAAATTTTACTTTTGAGAGAAGATTTTCTATAGGTAAATATGAAATGAGCAGTTTGGACTAATGCCACAGGTATTTAATCATTCCACAACTGAAGTGTGTGGAAGAAATACACAATGTACCATTTCTAATATCCCAAGTTCTAAAGCCATGTTATTCTCCTGTTCGCTTGCCTCTGGTCCCATGCCTAAGTAGACAATTTTCATGTGCCAACTGACATGAATGTTGCTAAGTTTATCAACTGCAAGAATGCAGCTGTTATATTGTTATGTTATTCCAGTATGTTTTAGGAACTGTATGTTCCAACATTTGTACACAGAAGTATTCAGAGTGTCACATCACTTGACGCTGCACCACAATCTGTATGAAGCTAACAGTGTATATTGTAGGACACATTATGAGCTGAGAAATACATTCAGAAAGATCCAGTATTTGAATCTAATATGAGATTATTGTGAGTTTATGGGAACTGCAAGATATAGCAGTCAAGATGTATCCTTTATTTCCCTAACCCACGTGACCAGAGATGCGGGTTCAGGTCCCACCTGCTCCAACAATGTGTTGTACATCTCCGAACAGGTTGATTTAAAAAAGAATTAAGATTTAAAAAAGAATTAAGTTTTAAAAGAAAGGTGTCACAGGACGGTGATGATCTTTAACGTAACTGTGTTCAGTACACCAGGGCATTTATCATACGTATTGACATATTGTTCATGATTGTCTTGTACATTATTGTAAACAGGAATTTTGCACCATTGAAAAAAGAGTGGAAATTGACTTGATTAAAGATAATGCTTGTCAGGATCATGTATTCACTTTTAGGAGTTGATATTGTTTCAAGAGATGCTGGAAGTTCACTATTTATAGAGTCACCTCTTGTGACGTTACACACCAGGAGTCAGATAATGAGTGTGCATTATGTAGTTCAAGTAATGTTAGAGGATGAGGTGATGATTAAATCAGGGGCTGGGCCCTATACCTCACTGTAAAGGGTGGCAACTCCTCAAATGGAGACTAAAGTTGGGGCGGCACTTTGGTTCAGTGTTCAGCACTGCTGTCTCAGTGCCACGGACCCGGGTTCAATTCCACCCTCGAATGACTGTGTGTGTGGTGTGCACATTCTCCCCGTGTCTGTGTGGGATTCCTCCAGGTACTCCAGTTTCCTCCCACAGTCCAAAGATGTGCAGGTTAGGTGGATTGGCCATGCTAAATTGCCTGTAGTGTTCAGGGATGTGTAGGTTAGGTGGATTTGCCATGGGAAATGCAAGGTTACAGTGTTAGGATTGGGGATGGGTCTTGGTGAGATGCTCTTTGGAGCATTGGCATGGACTCGATGGGCCGGATGGACTGCTCCCACATTGTAGGGATTCTGTGATAAAGTTGTGCTTCAAGGAATGAATTCCATGCGCAGCATTTGTATTGAGAGTTTGGTGGCAAGGGGAGAGGAGGTGCTTTAACTTGGTAGGTATGTGTTGGCTTACTTTAGGGGAAGCAATAGGTTATTTAGCTTGTGGGCAATTGCTACTGGAAGCATCGCCTACAGTAGAGATATTCAGTAGCCAGTGAGTTCAAAAGAATTCACCAGAAAAAATAAGCTACAAGTTTATAAAAACTAATGTTGCAGGAACATGAGGTAAGAGTGAGAATTGCATCATCCAAAAATCTGGCTGTTGGAACAATTGTATTGTGTTATATCTCTGTCAGTAAACCTTTTAAGAGACAGTATGTCAGCGTGCCTTCAAGCGATATGGCATTATCACTGTACCCTTGGGTCACAGGTCATGAAGATCATATACTCCATCTTTTAACTTGGGTCACTTGAAACGTGACATGCTAATGGAAGCACACTGCTGTTTGTAATTGATTAACTTAATGTAAGACCAGACACTGATGTATCTCTGAATGTGATATTTGTCTAAATTAGTGAACCGTAATGAATATCTGTTGGATCTTTCATTACCACATTAGCCACTTATCATAATTTGCGTCAAGATGATAGCATAAGTGTCACTACATCAGGTAAAGAAAACATGCTAAAGGCAAAACCCAGAATGTACTAGACCTTTCAAGACAGAAATTATTTTTGATGTTAAGATGGCTAAATGGCATTGAGGTATCAATTAACCATGATCTAATTGAATGGTACAACAAACTTGAGCAGCTGAATGACTCGCGCTGGTTTCATTATCTGAACTGGTAAATGGCCATTTCCATCAATACATCTGGTATTGCAGCTACATGTTGAGAGATTTGCAGTTTATTTTCCGCAGAACATTATAAAGAGATGTTCAATGCAGTTTGCCAAGTGAGTTAGAAGATTCTATTTCCATGTATTGTACATTAGCTTCTGAAAGGGCTAGATATATGTATGTTGAAGCAAAATTGTAATACCTGTGATATTTTAACTTAGTTTTGGACCAAATAACATACATTGGTACCACTGCACCACAAGACCTCTTGACATATTTGCTGGATGCCTACATTGATCTGCATGGTAATAGATTTAGTCTCAAGCTCTCACTCACTGAAAGGCTTGCTAGATACTCCCTACGTCTCTCCCATAAATGAATGGTAAATGATGGTGCCCTTAAGTTGAGAAGCAACCCTAAGGGCTTATGTAAGCTGGAAATAAACATTAGCTGTTTAATTAAAACTACACTTTTATTTATTCTTTTCTTTGCAGTCACATAATGAAGACTTACGAAACTTGAATCTTGCCGGTCATGTTGGATTTGACAGCCTTCCAGATCAGTTAGTCAACAAGTCAACAACACAAGGATTTTGTTTTAATATTCTTTGTGTCGGTAAGTAAAGTATGAAAGCACTAAAGAGAGAACTTCAACCTGGAGATTTTCACGTCCCCTGAATATCACACGAGAGAAATAGGCAGTTATCAGTTAAAGAATAAAAACCAGCCATGAAGCTAGGAAAGCCTTTCCACTGATCTGATATGAATTGTGTTTTTGAGAGCTTTTATGTCTACTAAGCTGGCAGATGTGAACTTGGGTGAACTCATTTCCAAAAAAGCAGATGGACAATAGAGCACTTTTTTTGGTAGTTTATTGAAGTGCCACCCTTGCTGGGAAGAATGGATGTGGCACCTTTCCATTTGGAAGGCAGGATTGTCATTGCATGTAATCTGTGCAGGATGTTCTGTAACAGAGTATGCACTTACTGGTGTGCACTTGTGTGATAAAAGATAAGCTTGAAAAATGATGTTAATCAATGGGGGCCTGTGTGAGTAAGTACTCAATAGACCTTCATCTATGCTTCAGGAGTAGCACCCTCAATCTGTGTGCAGGAACTCATAAGCTGCTTAGTAGTGATTTTATCTCATTATGACGCTCATTACCTTCTGGGAGCACAGAGTCAGGTCTAAAATTCACAGTATTTGCGACTGACTGGTTTGATTTATTTATGTTCTCCTTCTCTAAAATACCTGTATAAAAATCACGTTTTGAAATCACTGTGTCTCTAAATTTATGCAGTGAATTGTTTTGGGCTAATTGCAAAATCTTAAAAATTTATTCATCCGATATGGGCACTGAATGGACCAGCATTTATTGCTCATCCCTAGTGCCCTTGAGAAAGTGGTGATCTGACCTACCGTCACAATCTTTCAGTGCCCTACCCAACACTACTGTGGGAGTACTTTCACCGCAAAGGCTGCTGCTGATTACACAGGCAGCTCACTGCCACTTCAGAGCAACTCGGAGTTGGACAATAAATGTAGCCATGGCTGCACGGGCCATATCCTGCGATCACTTTAAGACCACAAGAAACAGGACCAGGACCTTTTGGCCCCTTGAGCTATGCTCCGCCATTCAATATCATCATGGCTGATTCAACATTCCTCACATCCACTTTCCTGCAATTTTCCCTTAACCATTGATTCCCCTGTTGATCAAGGATCTGTCTCTATCAGCCTTAAATATACACAAAGACTATACCCCCACAGCTGTCCATGGTGAGGAGTTCCAAAGACACACAACCCAGAAGAAATCCTTCCTCAGTTTTTAAAAAAATTGAAAAAATAACTGTTTCAATATAATGATTAGGATATGATGAAAAATGAAAGGGATGAATGTACATGGAATAGTTAAGGCAAAGACACATTTGCTGGAGTGCAGTTGTATTAGGAATGACCTACTTTATACAGCTTAGTGTAGAGCCATTCCTGATAAAGAAGCAATCTGCTTAGTCATGGCCATCATATCACTTAGTGTCAGCTTGAGTGCCCAAACTGAAGTGAGTTCCCAGTTTAACTCACATTTGAATAGATTAATAGATCTTTTAGAAAGTTCAATTTTCATTATTTTGTTGTTTCCCCCAGCTCCTGTTTTATATATTACAGCAGAGTAGATTTTCATTTGCTACACAGAGATTGCCAGCTCCAGTTCCTCTAACAATTCCATATTCATTCTTGCCTTCTGTTTCTCTTGTGTTGCAGTGAAGATTCTTTTTAAAATTAAATATGACAAACTATTATTGACCATTTTGGAATGTTCAATTCCCATGGAAATGCTCTGATGGTGGAGTATAACTGATTCAAGTACTGCACTTATTTTGCAAAAACTTGGTCACATTCTGAAAGGGATTGTGCAGACAAAACATTTTATCATTAACATATTTCATTGTTCAGGGCTCATAAAACTGGTGAATACAAACATATGTCTGTTTGATGCTGTCCCAGAGGCTGTTTCATCTGGGCTGTGAGGAGGTAAATCCGATTTTGTTAGTAAGTATGTCTTGTTGGAAAGAGCAAGGATTGTTTTGCGTTCTTGAAGTCTCCTTGTCCATTAGTAATGTATCATCTGTTGAACATCACAAAGACCCTGGTGGCCTCGAGAAAGCAGTCTTCCCACGGAGTTTAGCTTATTCCTAATCGAGAGACCAGCAGAAACTTAAAGATGGCCTGAAGCCAACCATGTGATTTGTGTTCCTCTGGGTGAAGCATTTTGTAATTTTGTATGTGTAAATTGCTCATCGGCATTTAAAATGCTCCACATTTATATTTGAGGAAAAGAAAGTATGATTTGCAATGTACAGTCTCCTACTTTTGTCTCAGCTGCAACATTGCTTCAATCAAAAATGTATTTTTCTGTCTTTCTAAGCACTGGAAATCCCTTTGAACACTGGATCATTTGATTCACAAATTGATTATAGGGGTTTATGTTGCAAAGTTGAGTGCAGTTTGGGGGTGTGGAAACCACCTTGTTGAAATTGCTGAATCCTTGTACCATAATTTGATCACAAGCTCACCGAATTTTATATGAACACAGTGGTTACTTTGTCAGTAATGTGCTGACACAGCTCATTTGTGAAGTTTCTTCTTGTGAAGTTGCTTTTGTAAGAGTAGAATGATCTCTGTGTTTAGGGCAGGGAGAAGGACCGAAAAGGGAGCAGCGGTTGACCTCCTTTATTCCTTTCTATCCATGCACTCTTTAATTCTTTAACAACGTGCCCAGGCACTACAGTAAATGTTCACAGGTCCTTTTACATGTTTCTGACACAGCTATCCATATGTGGTAATTTAGAGGTCAACTTGTGCAATGGCCAGTGTGGGAAGTTTTGGATTACTGTGCAGCAGCAGAGCTTAGAGGGAACATTGCAGAGGCATCTTGTATTTTGTTTAATAATATCTTTTCCTCACGGTGAGGTGCAAATAAATTCCAAGCTTGAATTGTGGATCACTAGAAGTGTAGTGGGAATAAAGAGGAAGATACTTGGTGGTTGCAATCAATTTTATTCATACATGTGAAAGTGACAACACCTAAGAAAACAGTAAAAATATTTGTGGCTTTGTGCATCAGTCTTTGATCACTCTGGGTTTCACTGTACAGAATTATTTTATTTTCATTTTTTAAAGTTGACAATTTCATAAAACTGACCAAATGGAGACTGCGAAAAGTAAGGTTGAATATATGAGAAGGAAACTGCAATTCCTACGAAAGAGCTACTTTTTCTAGTGGTAAAACGTTACAATAATAATGTTAATTTTCCTGCAAAATCACAAGGTCAATGCAAATGAGGAAGGCCATTCAACCTATCCTAATTCCTCCCTGTAGAAAGATGAAACAGACAAATTCACTCATCCACACATCTTTTTGTTTAAAAAAAGATGCCATTGATGTTTACAAAACAGAGGGAGTCCTTTTGGGTAGTCATTACTGCATCAGTTATTTTACAGAGCAAGTCAGAAGTAATATTCCTGCTCTGCTTTCCCCACCCCTCCAGTCCGCTGCCATAACCTCACACGCTTCCTTGCTTCAATTATTTATCCACTTTACCTTAGAGTTACAATGTTCTATCTCAATGAGTCTCTGGCAGAACATTCCATTTTTCAATGCTCTGTAAATACTATTTTCCTAATCTGTCATTGTTCACTGTGGTTTCACCCCATTACCTTCTTGCTACTTGCCAAACAGGACAAATGCTCTGTCCGTATGGCTCAATGAAGAGTGTAGGAGGAGATGTCACAAACAGTACCGGGCATACCTAACAATGAGGTGGAACTGGTGAAGTTACAACATAGGACTATCTTTGTGCCAAACAGTGGAAGCAGCAAGTGTTAGAGCTAAGTGACCGACAACCAATGGATCAGATCTAAGCTCTGTAGTCCTGCAACGTCCAATCAGGAATGGTGGTTCACAATTAAACAATTTGCTGGAAGAGAAACCCCCAAAATATACAGATTCATGTGTTAGCTTTCCTGTGCCATGTGACCCTGATGTAATGCAGACATGATATTTTGGTGAATTGATTTCAGAATTAGGACTTATCTCCTTTTACTTTTCTGTATGTACTTTTCTGGATTAGCCATGGGAAATGTAGGGTTACAGGAATATTGTAGGGGCGTGGATCTGGGTGGCATGCTCTTAGCGTGTGGACTTGACGGGCTGAATGGTCTGCTTCTACACTGTAGGGATTCTATGATTCTGTACCTTAAATAACATACCAGTTGTTTGCATTTCAACTGAACAAATCTTTTCAGGAACTTCTTTAATACTGTCAGACCATCCCTGGATAATGATCTTACCTCTTGTAGTTCCTTATCCTTGGCAGTTGCCAATTGACAATTAATGTCGCTAAACCATTACCTAGGTTGTTGATTAATAGTCTCGTGATAATGTCACTAGGCCATTGCCTCCTCCAAATCAGTTTATTCAAGACTGAAATCAGTACATTTTTGAGTGCTGAGGGAATTGAGATGGTGTTTGAATCTGGCATTAGTTTTAACTATTGCTGTTTTGACTGTTACATGACCATTGAAAATCTCTTTTAAGCAAACATCCATTATGAATATAGGCAAACTAGCTCAAATCGCTGTGAGCTTTTGTGTGTAATTTTTTTAAAATCGCAAAATATAACTCTCCTCACTATTTCACCAATAATAGATTCAAATGTAACACTAATGAATCAACAGAGTTTTAGCATATTTTATAGCGTCATTCTTTAAATATCTTTAGGTGAAACTGGTATTGGTAAATCAACATTAATGGATACGTTGTTCAACACTAAATTTGAAAATGCACCAGCCTCTCATGCTGAACCCGGTGTTCGATTGAAATCAAGCAGCTATGAACTACAGGAGAGCAATGTACGACTAAAGTTGACCATTGTCGATACAGTAGGATTTGGAGACCAGATAAACAAAGAAGACAGGTCAGTTTTTAATATGATTGTTGTTGAAAATGTTGCATTGCAATTCTCCACCCAACATCAATGATGCAGTAAGCATTTTCAGTACCTGAGATGTTATTCTTCAAGTGTGGAATTGACATAATGAATACAAAAAGCAATTTGATCCTGGAGAACAGTAATTTCCAATCCTGAACTTGTGCCTACATAGCAGGCTTTTCCCCAGATGCCACTGAATGGTAATCAGGAGTGAGGCTAGCAATAGGATGCTCTGGATTTTTTCCTATATTGTCATTCCTTCTCTTGCTCTCTCATTTTCCTCTCCTTTTCTCCATTTTCCCTATCCTGCTTGATTTTCTCTTTTCTCTTACTTTCTTTTTTCTTGTTTTCCTTCCCTATTTCCCTTCTTTGCTTTCCTGACTCCCTCCCATGCTTTCCTTGCTGTTTCTCAATTGTTTGTTTTTTAATGGTACCTCCAGCTAGCATGTACATTCAACTTGCACAATTTTCCAGGTGCATTCTTTACTTTGCTTCGGAATTCTTAACCTATACCTGGGCGACACGGTGGCTCAGTGGTAACCACAGCTGCCTCCACAGCACAAGGCACCCAGGTTCGATTCCACCCTTGGGCTACTATCTGTGTGGAATTTGCACTTTCTCCCCATATCTGCGTGGATTTCCTCTGGGTGCTCCCGTTTCCTCCCACAGTCCAAAGATGTGGATTGGCCATGCTAAATTGCCCATTGTGTCCAGGGGTGTGCAGGCTAGTTGGATTAGCCATGGGAAATGTAGGGTTACAGGAATATCGTAGGGGCATGGATCTGGGTGGGATGCTCTTAGCATGTGGACTTGACGGGCTGAATGGTCTGCTTCTACACTGTAGGGATTCTATGATTCTGTACCTTAAATAACATACCAGTTGTTTGCATTTCAGCTACAAACCTATCGTTGAATATATTGATGCACAGTTTGAAGCCTACCTCCAGGAAGAATTGAAAATCAGGCGTTCCTTTTACAATTATCCTGACTCAAGAATCCACGCCTGTCTCTACTTCATTGCGCCCACAGGACATTCGCTAAAATCTCTTGACCTTGTTACTATGAAAAAATTGGATAGCAAGGTAATTGTTTGTCAAATCTCTAAAGAAAATATTAGTCAGCTTTTGAAAGCATAAGGGATTATTTGCAATTTATAAGTCACTCTCAAATTGACCTTTTTTGACCTTATATACTGCTTTGTTCCTGTTGCTTCTTGTAGGTTGAGAAAGGGCATTTGACATACTTGTTTTAAATGTTTGACTCTTAAATGAGTCTAAGTTTGGTCTTGTCATTTACTGCATTTTAACTTGTACAATGGGCTCAGTACTTGAGTAAAAATAACTAAATGTAAAATTATACAATTAGCCTGTTTACTGCTGGTGTTTATTATATGAATGTTGATCACAAGTCATGTAAACTCTTGTCAAGTGCAAGTCTAATTACAACATACTGTAACTTGAGCTAACTTTGGCTTTACATGAACAAAAGCAACAGGTAGGTGTTAAATATATCAGTATTTATCAGCAGCACACTTACTGAAACCCTGAACCATGTCCTAGTTACCTGGACTTAAATATTCAATACTCTTCTGACTAGCTTCTCATATTCTACTCTCCACAAGCTCGAGCTCATCCATAACTCTTCTGCCTGTATCCAAGCTCATTACCAACCCTGAGACAACAAGGTGTAGAGCTGGATGAACACAGCAGGCCAAGCAGCATCAGAGGAGCAGGAAAGCTCACGTTT